ATGGAGGTGGACTGTCGAGGATCATCATGAACGATATGTGCAGGTAATATTAAGATCAGGGATTTTAGGTTTGCGCAAGGACTCAAGGGACTGAAACAGGCAGGGTAGGGCGATAGTACTTACTTCTTATATGGCTCTCAGAAGGACCTAGGGAATAGGGATAGCACCTGTGTTACTGGTGTAGAGCCCAGCCGAACAGGTCGCATGGTGCTAAAGCGCCCAAAGATGACGAGTGGATCTTTCAGCACCCGATTAGCGCATCGACTAACTGTAACTTCGGTTCCGAGTCACAGCCTGTCATCCACAAGCAAAGAGCCATACAAAACTCCGAAGACGCCAACGGGGGTACAATCCGTAATCGATATGACAAGTGGGAACTAAATGGCTTCACTCCGGTTCGACTAACGGCAAGTGGGGGCGTGAAATGGTCCGTGGCAAGGGACGCCCGGCAGATTCACTGCTAACTCCAGTAGGAGATAGTACAGAGTAAGTAGGCTGTATGCCCAAGGATCGATCATGATTGTTTTTTCCAAATCATTCATTTGTGACACGGCTGAGCCGGCCATCCTTCAGCTGAAAATATTCCAGCGAAGCTAGTGGCATGCAGTTAGTCCGAGTGATATCTCACACATTCACACTATGTACATCCATGTCGCATCCAGTCCCTTGTCTATTGCCAAAAGTGCGTGCTTCGTGCCTCTGATTCCTCCGATCCTGTCCGATGCGCTCCGAAGCATAGTTCAGATCTGCCCCTCTACCACTGACGCCGTCGTTATGCACCTTTTCCACGCGCAAAATGCATCCTGCGCCCGAATATCGCCGCCCAAGGGAAAATATCGTCTAGCTGGAAAGTGCCACAGTGCCTGCAATGTATATGGGATGTTCCAGAATCGCCATAGACCATGTGGCAAATGCATAATACAGCCGCATATAGCCCAAAGAAAAACATGCAAATCATCCATAATTCCGCAATGTACGACGTATGTAAACTTCAAGGTTAGAAACACCACAACACCGGACCAATATGGTAGAGTCATTATTCAAAATAAATATAAAAAGCCAATGTGCAATATGTATCCAAGAGAGGGGTCTATAGACAAATGAAAAGATCCAGCTCTCATCTCACACCTCGCCCCAGCCTCCCAGGCCAGCTGCAACGGGCGCCACTGCACTCCCGCTGTCCACACTGCCCCCAATGTCCCAGTAATTGCGACTGGAACCGGTAAGCGTCCGACGGCTGGAGATGGCAGACAACTTGGCACTCTGGCTAGCACAGCTAGAACTGGGGCGACGGTAATGCGGGCGCATGATGGGCGACGACACCCCGGTTGGTCCGGAGTGATGCGAGTACTGAGATTGCCGGCGAATCTGCGCTTGAGAGCGCGAGTGCGCTCGGGCAACGAGCGGATGGTGCTGCCGGATGATTGCCGCGCGACGAGACGCATCTTGCGGGGCTCTGCGGGGAGTGCTGTGATAAGTGTCGTTGTTGCTGCCCCGGTGGGTAAACCGGTTCCGCAGGTACCGGAAGACCATCCGAATATCCAGCTCTCGCTCCCAATACTCCTTCTCCTGTTGGGCGCGTGCCGAGTCAGCCAGCGGCTCAGCCGCGGAATGGCTGGCTGAACGATTGACGATATCGTCATCCTCGATACCCCATTGCGCCGCATGTTCTCGGCTACTGGGGTCGCCAAGTGTAGGCGAAAAGTGTGGAGAGAGGACCGATTCTGCGTTCATAGTGGACTCCAGATTGGTAGGACCCACCGAGGCAGAAGGTGCATCGGCCTCTTCCGGCACGCGATCGAGAGGTATGCCAGCATACTGATTCGGGATCTCGTGGGACATGTTCAAATAGGTCGTGAACGCACCGGGATGTTCGCACAGCTGGTTAACGAGAATCCCCAGCTCGTGCGCGATGCGCTGCAGCACTTTACTCTGCCAGATAGGGTGGTCTTCCGGCACGGAGTCCAGCTCCTGGTTGAGTGCCTCGATGTTCGATGCATATTCCCTCGCTGAAATTGGCTCGTCATCTTCGGTGGAGGGCAAGGATTCCCCGAATATTACAGATAGCAACGAATCATCGATCCCGATGAGGTCACGGATGACCTTGCGGGTGATTCGCTGCAACAGAGACTCGTCCCCGTCTTCTTCCTCCTTTGCCGTCGAAGCAGACTCGGACTCCTTGGGGGTCTCAAGGACCGCATCTGGAACGTCCGAAACCGTCGGATACGATGCAACGGGGTCGGTGATGCCGCTGGCGCGACTATCACGCCGTCTGCGCGTTGCTTTCTCGATCTCCTGCAGAAGCACCCGGCTTTGTTCCATTCTCCATTTCTCAATGCGCTGCCACCGTTCTCTCTCCATGTCCGCCTCTTCTTCATTTCCGACCATGTCCAACTGACGCTGGACACTCGAGCGACGGCGTGGCTGTAGGTCGGGTCTCCGATTGGGATTGTACTGTTCGTGCTGCCACAACTGGTTTTGTACAGCCTGGCTAGAAGCCTGGAAACTGCCTAGTCCATCATGGGCTGGGAGAACCGCAGGAGCCCCTTGGTCTTCTTGAACCAAGGACGGGGCTCGAAAGGCGTGCAATCCATCATCCAGACTATCTAGTTCCGTCCCGTCATCGTCCAACGGCTCATCGAGAGCGTCACCGACATCCTCGCTTTCTGGGCCGATCGCAGATCGAGTTGCTGTGCCAAACGAGCCAAAGTCACTTAAACGTGAGATGCCTTGTGTTCGTGGGGTGCGATCAGTAGAGGTGGTATGCGTGCGGGCGGTGGTGGAGGGTTGTTGGGTCGGCGAGAAGAGCACCCATTCTGTAGCTTCGTTCTCCGGTAGTAATGAGAGGGGCGAGGTGATATCGGGGGCGGGAGAAGGGAGGGAGTTGGAATAGGAAGGGCGTCGACGGGGGACTTGGGGAGGTAGACGAAACGCCATGGGTTGACTTGGCAGATGGGAGCGATGGGGCGATAGCAGCAAGAATGGAAGTGGCTGGAGGTTGGGGGGAGAGAGGGGAGGGAGAGGCAGATAGCGAGATAAGAACAGTTATCGATCGCGCGGTGGATCTTCCCCGCGTGACCGTGTTCGGAGAGACTGAGATGGGAACAGATGGCAATGAGGCAAGGGAGGGATAGGCTATATAGCCACGAGCAAGCCTAAATGCCACCAAAAAGTTTGGACAGTCAGGCAGAAGAAGCGTCTCGAGGCCTGCAGGGGGAGACTAGGGGAAAAAAAAGTAAAGATGGCCAGATTTGTCCGATAGCGGTGATGCTGACGCGAGGGCCTCTGCTCGCTGATGAGTCGGAGATGACGTGGGAGGGAGGAGATAAGGCGAAGGTTTAAGCCAGCGAGAAATGCTCCATGGTCCTTGGGAGGGGAGGAGGGGTTTGACACAGGAAATGGTTCCCCTCTTTAATGAAGAGAGACAGTTAGTCGAGAAGTGCTATGGTAGACTAGGGATGGTAGACAAGACGAACAAGTCAACCGGACGAAATGAACCCGGATGATGCCAGTCACCAGACCGGGTCGGTGGGTGGATAATTGCAGGAACTCTCTCACACTCTCTCTTTTCTCTCTTTTCTCTCTGAAACAAAACGAGGAAAAAGTTTAAATCCATCGACGGGACAATCTTATCCACAGTTTATGTCAGAACAAGGATGTCCTTCTTATTCTAGCTTTCTCTTTGTCTACTATATAAATAAATAATAGTCTTGTCAATAGCGTCCCCAACCCAGCATCCAGACTAAACACCCCGTAAACACATACAGCAAAAAGCTGGGGGGAGGGAAAGGAAAGGAGGTGACGCTGACTATCGAATCCGATCAACTGCATGGTGACGATCGGCTGATCGACGTCTGTCTGCGGGATCTGTCGAGTCTCGATATCACCACTCCCTATGGATGGAGTACAAGTACGTACTTCCTGTGGAGGTTTCCTATTGCTGCCACCTCAACCCACCGACCGACACGATGAGAGGTAGTATGCTTCGTACCTCGCGGTGTGTGTGTGTATGCATCTCTCTCCTGATTTTCGACTGGCTTCTCCACAAAATAAACAGGTCAAGCCATCGAGGGATCAGCCAGTGTTGATCACCCCATCGCTCTCTCCACTGGCTCTGATCTCAATGACATGTCATCATTCCTCCGTGTTGCCTGCATGGCCCAAGGCGAGGCGAGGCTGGGCTGTCAGTCAGTCAGTCAGGGGTTTTTGCTCGCTTCAGGTCTCGACTGCTGGCTGTGCCCGCTCTTTCAGCTGTGGCGTTCGTCTCGTACTGTGTAGTTCTCAGCCCCTCGGTCGTGTCTGCCTGTGTAGGCTTGCAACTTCGGTAAATAACACTATTAGTCTGTCTATATTTTGTTTTGTATAGATAGTAGTGATGAAATAGATAAATTGTAGTAGTCTAGTACTTGCAGATATGGTCAAGGATGAAGGTGCGGTAGACTGACCGCTGGTAGGTAGAGGTGTAGGTTGTGCAACTCTCGGCAGGACTACTAGGATCTTCTATGGTTAATCCGGTTAATCTGGAGTCTGGAGAGAAGATCAATGGAATTGTACGCTAGTAGTCTGACAGTTGGTATTTGTCAAGTCATCTAATAACAAATCAATATCTTACAGAGGGACTATTAGCCTTACTGGATGAACATTCTCATCAACAGTGGTGTACTACGAGTACATTTGGAATACATTGGCTTAATAATAGCACAGATATAATATCATTTATCTTTCTAGATGACAAAGTCGTAAGCAAAACAGGCTATCATTCCGTTGACATGACTGAAGCTTATTGGACTACGTACTACGAAGTACTACTCCGTGATACTCTTTCGGGATCGTCCTACAGTATCATACTGTGCAACCATGCAAGCCGAGGAAATCCGCGTTAAATAACTCCGCCCCATACGGTGACTAAATGACATCAAGGATAACAAACAGGACATGAAAAGTGGGAATAGTTCAATACGTCTTTTTTTCTTTCGTGTCCTAAAGCGCTAAACATCCATCTAAGCCTGAGAAACGTTCTCGTAGGCGTCGGGGAAACGCTTCATGTTCTCCTCAACGAGACCGTGGCCACGCAGGAACTGGACGTAGGCACCGTCCTGCTTGAGCTTGCCCTCCTGGCGGAGCTGGACGTAGTCCTCGCGGCGGACGGGGGTGAAACCCCAGTTCTTGGAGACGATGATCTTTTGGCGACCGGGGAACTTGTACATGGAACGGCGGAGAGCCTCGATGGCAGCAGCACGGTTGGCGTCACGGGTGCGGACGGACAGAATGATCTGGCCAATGTTCACACGGGCAACGGTACCCTGGGGCTTACCGAAGGCACCACGCATACCGGTCTGGAGACGATCGGCACCGGCGCAAGACAACATCTTGTTGATACGGATGACGTGGAAGGGGTGCACACGGACACGGAGGTGGAAACCTTCCTTACCGGCGATCTTCACGAGGTACCTGGATATATGTGTTAGTGGATGATGGATGGGCGTAGTGGAATCGGCGGGTCGGCATACTTGTTGGCACAGATACGGGCGGCTTCGAGGGCCTCGGAGGACAGCTGCTCGTACTCGTTGGAGACGAGGTGAACGCAAAGAGGGAAGTCATCGACGTTGGCCTTCTTACGTCCCAGATCGAAGATACGGATCTTGGGGTCGGGAACACCACGGTTGAACCGGGACTTAGGGTAGGGCTGTCATTCGAGGATCATGTCAGTATTCATTTCCATCCTTTGTCTGGTACACCTTTTCCATCCATCATCAGGCAAGACATGATATCCATCGTCGTGAGCATCTCTTCGTAGCGCGTATCCTCGTTGGTGTTGGTTGACAAATGCTCCCCACAAGACAAAATCCCATCCAAAAAATCCACAAAAACGCACAAAAATCCATCAAACGGTCGAACGCACCTTGTTCTTGCAGTAGCGGTAACATCTCGCGGGACGACGGGCCATCTTGACTGCTGGAAATGGGGCGGCTGCACTTCCTGCGAACGGTGAGGTTGTCGAAAAAGGTGGTGTCGGGAGGCGAAAGGGAAGGGGGATTATGGGCGCAGGCACTTTCCACGTTGATTTCCAAGCAAGCGCCCGCTACCGAGTGGCACAGCCCTAAACCCTACCCTCTCCGCCAATCACATCCCGTACACGCTATGACGCATTTGTCAGACTACGGCAACTCCGACATTCTTGGAGTGTTCAGGCTGATATATCAGTCTTTCTAAGCTGTGAATGAAACATGTTTTACTGCGGAATGATGTGATGACTTTCAGCTGCTTTATAATTATCAATATGTCTGGACTTTTATCATGTGACTCATAAAGTGGAGTCGAGCTGCCGCTCTTCCCCCGGTTCTTTAGTGATACGGCCGTGCTATCTTCCTGATCACTCCTACAATCTTATCCTACAGCATTTAAAACGAAACCCAATATAGATGTAAAGTTCATTGTCATTATCTAAATCGTGCCGTGACGTTGTGCATCATGGCATACCGCCGTTCAGACATAACATGAATTCATTGACCAGGCTTTACACCTACTGGCTGGACAGGATGTCGGAGTCACCAGCATCGAGGATAGCCATGGTGGAGGTACGGAAGAGCTTACCGCAGGCGGTACCGAGCTCAATCTGTTCAAGACGTTAGCGCATACTCCAACTTTACGTTGTGATCTCTAATGGAAGAAGTCGTTCCAGAACTAGGCCCGGACGCCGCTCCATAGAGATCCCCAGGCGGATCGTGGTCACTCACGTTGTTTCCGGAGAAGTGGTGGACGGGGGCCTTGGCGAGCATGGCGTAGTACTCGAGCTCACTCTTGCGGAGAGGAGGAGTGTTAGCGGCGATGATGACCAGCTTGGCCTTGCCGGACTGTTGAGATTATTAGTCGACCATTCACGGACGTTCTGCACGGCTATTGCCTGAAATATCCGGTGTACTCACGCGGAGGGTCTTGATGGTGGACTTGTAGCCGAGGGTGACTAGATGGTACGATTAGAGACTGTCTAAAATGTCTGAACTTGCAAATTCTGATATAACATACCCTTTCCGGACTTCATCACAAGCGCCAGGCGCGAGTTGATGGTGTCACCGGTCTTCTTGCTCTTGGGGGCCATCGTTACGCTGAAGTTAACTAAACTTCTGCATGATCAATTTTAATCAGCATTTGTTCACTCCGCTCTTTCAAAGCCCACTGCTGATTGCTACCGCTTTTTGGGCATGACAAAAATATTTTTGACCATGATCAAAAACAACGGGCAATCAGCCGTGGCTTGCGGGGAAATACCACATACCTAAAGGTTTAATGTGGTTGTTGAGAGAAGTGCGCTCCGGCCTCGTCTTTTGAGATTGGGATGGTAAAAGAAAACCTATCACCCACTCTTTTTTTGTGGGTTTGACAAATGTCGGGTGACAATTCCTCCGTTCCGCGGCGGCTGACTCATCTTCCCGCTTCCAAGGTTGTGTTTCACGTGATCATATCTGAACCCGTACAGTAATGGGCGGTGAGGGTCGCTGCCTGGCGGCCTGATGGCTGCCCCGGTTCCTCCCTCTCTGCATGTGCACGTGAAGGAGGCAGGACAGTAGTCCATCATCGTTCTTGTTGTCTTTTCGTCTTCGAAATTGATTCTTAGAGTTGACACTTTAACTTCCTGCTTCTAGTGCCTTTCAAATGACGAAATGCGACTGAAAGTATTCAGTTCTCGCAGTAGGAAGAAGCCGATCTACGGTGACAAGTTGCCTCATAACTATGAATATCGATAGCAAAGGTCACCGTGAGAGATACATATATGTGAGGGTGCCTGGATACCTAATACTGGTAGTAGTCTAGTTCTTGTGATGTATCTGGATTCGGAATATCTTTATATGGTATATCGTGGATCCTGATACATTCTAGTACTTCCTACATTAAGACTAATTGTTTCCACTATCCCTCACTTCTTTCTCTCACTGGAATAGTGCAGAACTGATCTTCACTTTCATATTTCATCAACCCTTGACCACTTATGTCATTCATGAGATTGATCTGAATCCGTTGCCCGGACTGCAGCCCCGGACGTCAGTAAGGAGCCAATTCCCACGTGGTGGGGATCTAAGACCCTATATCTGTTGTTCCTAGAAACCAATATTCGTAGTCTCTGCAGCGCACGATGGATAGCCAATCTCTTTATTTGGCTAACCTTCATGGTCTAATGAGATAGAGTGAGTATTCGCTGGATGAATGTAGCAGACGGAAATCCATCCCGCCATGCATTATACTGCTCAAGTTTTTAACGGTAGCTTGGAACCGGGGAGGAGTTACCATTGGCAGGAGTTGATTGTGCTCATTCGTTCTTGAGTCGAAAGTGATGCTGGCTCTAGCGTTCTAGGCCTACCATTTTCTTGATGATTTGGCTATCACTGTTGTTTCATCAGATACATAGTAAGTCACAGTATGAGCATGAGCATGCTAGTGAGAAAGTTACTTTGTGAGGCAGATATATACTCCGATGCATCAATCCATCTCTTCCTATCAGTTGAAGCTACATAGCCCGAGCCAATTCATACCACGATGGTTGTTTCGTTTGTATTGCCTATTTGTTATTGGTGTGGAGCCAGACATAGGGGTCCAGCCGTGCTATACATGAGAAGCCATACTAACGTGGCATGTAGAGACTTGCGCTTTATGAACGTTAATATTACTGTCCAATCTGTAGGTCCATCCGTGTATTGCTTTACGGCATGGTCGGTCAGGCAATATACGTAGTAAATACACAGTGGGTAAAATTGGGGTTCTCAGGGGTTGTGGAATAGCATAGTATTTAGTTGGGGTACCCTCCGATATATACTAGCCAGCAGAAGCACACTACTAGGCCTGTCACGTCACGGAGCAGATTCCTTGAAAGGAGAATTGGCAAGCAAGTCAACGCGGTTAGATAATTACTTTAATTTTACTTTGTCTACTGTCACAAGACCGTCTCTTAGATATGTATCTATTGGGTATCCTGGTAGGAAAACCTTATACTACGCCCCCCTACTATGCCTAGGCCACATCGATGGAAGTACAAGAGTAACAACCACACCTACAATCCAACATCAAACAAACCTCCACAGCTGCATCTTGTAGTCCAGGTAACTGTACTTGATACATGCAGAGTGAAGAGCCTTACATAAGTGGCCCGGAGACAACCCTGCTGATCTCGATGCATGGCCGGAACCGTCACTACGGACGTGGCGCAGGATGTACAGTAAGTTTTGTCCGGCCCCCCTTCCCTGAGGGCGGAAATAGATGATTGGATGGTAGGGGTGGTTGCGACGATGGATTACGATGGTCGACTCAGCTTAAGACTGACAGATGGCTGGACCCTGTGTGCCGCAAGGAACCCCAAGGGAGGGTTGGTGAGAAATTACTATCTTTAAACGTTGCCATGTGTTGGCTCCGTGTTGTCGACCAGGTGAGGGGCCCCAGTTGGATTGTTTGGTATTGGTGCTGCCTTGTCGCCGGAGTTGGAGTTGGCATTGCCACTTTCCAGGCGAGCCACGATGACAGATGGGAATGGATGTGACGGGAGAAGTAATGAGAAATGAATAAGTCATGAGTGAGTGACAGAGTTATACAGAGCACACATAGTCCGATGTTAGTCATTCAATCGGTGATGAAATAGGGGAGAAGGGTTATGTAACGTCGGTAATCATCGATACCTCAATGCGACATAATAAGTTACCCGGGACGGAGAGATCCCCAGGCCAACAAGGGCCCAACTGGTAACGTACGGTAAGTTGGGGCCTTAGACTTGCCTTAGACTACCAAATACGGCCGTTCCCATACATACTCCCGTGGACATTGTATCGTGCCCATCAACCCAATCGAACAATTAATGCGCCCACCTGTTCCCATTATTATTCCATTTTCTTTCCCACCCCTTCAAGCTTTTTTTCTTTCTTTCGTATGTTTGTCGGATTCATCCCTAACTTGCGATCTTATCCCTCAAATTCCCCCCAGTCCTCTACTTAAATACTACTACCCTTCCCCCCAATATCCTTACTTGGTGGTTCTGGAAAGAGGCTAGCCGTGGCCAGCCATTCTGAGCCATCCCCCACCGAGATAGTAGGTCACCTAGTGTGCCCACTGTGTTTTGACCGCTACAACCTCTCGGCCGCTGTCCCTTAAATTTATCGACTTAATTTCCCGGCTGTTTCATACCAGTTTTAAAGCCCCAGAGGCCTTTCTTCTCCTTCCCCTTTCTGGGCCGCTTTGCGTCTTCTGGAATCATTCTACGTTTCTGGTGTGAACCCCATTGTCGGTAATCATGTCGGCGACGCCTCGCAAGCCCAGTACTCCGGGCAATTCCAACAGAAACTCGACTGCAGAAAGCCACACAGCCAGCGGCACTGCATCGCGAACGCACACCCGCTCTCCCAGTGCTTCGACAAATGGCGTCACTCGTTCCCCGTCCCTCCGTGCTTCGACTCCGGTCTCTGCGCGGGCTGCGGCTCGGAAACCCGGTCGCTCCAACCTGAGCACATCCAGTGCCCCCAAAGTTACGCCCAATCAATCCGACGAAGAGGCCCGGGCCCAGACCGCTGCTCTCATTGATGACCTCAAGGAGCAGTTGCAAAAGGCGGAGACCGCCTCGGAGCAGTATCGCAAGCAGTTGGGTGTCCTCCAGATGCGCCTCGATGAGGCGGTGAGCGAGCAAGGCAAGTTGGAGGACCAGAGCCATGAGAGGGATAGCAAGATTGAGGCTCTGAATGGCGAGATCCGTGACCATGTTCGCCAGATTCGCGACCTTGAACAGGCACACGAACTGGAGCGGAATGCCATGCTGCAGGAGAAGGAACAACAGGCGAGTCGTGAAGAAGAGATGCAGGCTACCATCCAACGTCTGAAGGAGTCGCTGGCCCAGAAGGAGCGGGCAAATGCTGCCGATTCGGATAAAAGTGTGTCTCGCTCATGTAAGAAGATCATTTCTTCTTCTCCTTTGTCCTCGTCTAGTGTGAAACCTGCTAACATGCCCCTTATAGCCAGTTTCCGTAACCGGGCATCACCGGATGTCGATGGTCAATTCGCACCCTCTTCCCAGATCGAGAGAAGCCCTTCTCGCAATAACTCGAAGCTGCTTTTGCAGAAGGATAAGTTGATTGAGTCTCTTCGGCTTGAGCTGGCTGAGTCCCAGATCAAGCTTGTCGAGATGGAGAACAAGGGCGGTGGCAGACAGCGGGAGCTGGAGAAAGAGCTTCTGGAAGCTCGCATGGCGAACGCCCGCTTGATGGAGGATAATGAGAGCTATCAATTACTCCTTAGTGAGAGAACCCTCAATGGTGATTTCACAAAGGGTGACTTCATGCGGGAAGTTCACCCGGACACTGCCGAGGACGTCAAGGAGCCTGGCAGTGGCTTGGGTTCGTTGGCTGACGAGCTAGAATCCGTCGATGCTCGAGCAGAGACAGACAACACCCGCAAGCTGGAGACGGAGATCAAGGCGCTGAAGGACCAGAACAAGGCCCTTACCCTCTATATCGAGCGGATTATCAGCCGCCTCCTGCAGCATGATGGTTTCGAGACCATCCTTGACAAGAATGAAAACGACCCCCCTTCCAAGCCGATGCCTGCGCACAGCAACAAAGAGCTTCCGCCAACGCCCCCTGAGAAGGATGATGCACAGCAGACCTTCCTCCAGCGCGCCAAGTCGGTCGTTGCAGGCCCGAACCCGAACCCTCCTAGGCCTTCGACTCAGCCGCGGTCACGTCCCACGAGCTATATGCCTCCACCCACCAGTGTGCCCACCGCCCACGAGAACCCGCAGACGGCACCTAGCATTCCCCTTCGTGCTGGGTCAATTCGCGGTCACCGCCGCACAAGGTCGGAACAAACGGACGTTGGAGCAGCATCCGTCGTGGGTCAGATGTATCGGGGACGCAACTCGGGTGGTCCGATCAGCCCTACTCTCATGGGACCTGGAAATCGGCAAAGCGCATTCTCTAGCGCGAGTATCATGTCGAGTATGAGTACCGGTGGTCGTGCGCCTTCACTCTCCAGTCAGCCTGAGCACAGCCGGTTGAGCAGTTCGGACAGTGTCACGAGCGATCCCGCTGGTGATACGGCATCCACCGGTGCAACCTCCAGCTCTCCCCGCTCTAGCACCGGCATGACCAACTACACTGGGGCTGTCATGACTCAGAACAAACTGCGTCCCCTGCGCCTAGTCAGCGAGACTAAGCTGGCCGAGGAAGAAGAAGCTGCCCGCAAGAAGGCTAATCGGGGCAGTTGGATCCCCTGGTTCAACCGTCCCAACCCTAGCGAGGCCACCCAACCTTCAACCTGAGCGTGTCAGTCTCGTGGAAAATGTGGGGTAAACCCACCCGCCTGCAAATAGGGACATATTCTGTGCTTTGTGTTATTCACGGTTAATCTGCATGATCTTCTAAGCCCTTGATGGCGGGTTGTTGACCACTACGGTGAAACTCTTACCATTCTTCTTCGGTGTTGATCATCATACTGGTGTTGAGCCCATTATGGCCCAGGTTGCCCCCCTTCGAGCATCTGGCACTTTTTTCGCGTCCATTTATTTGCTTTGATTGAATTTTGGAAATGTGATAGACGACCACATTGAAACGTTGTGATGATGCCTGACATGGGTACTGCTTGGACACTCTTTTTTTACCCCCTCCACAGACTACTCTTGGACGCGACGAATCTGCTTTGCTTGTTTATGCCCCTCCTTATATGATGAACATACCTATGGTCTATATACCTCGAACCCCGAGTGAAATTGTCTTGTGCTTTTTGTTGTTTAATGATGTTGTCTAGACCTTTGTATTATAGAGCCAGTAAGTAAATATGAATCTATAACCAACATAGTACCTAGATGTATGAGTACCAAAAATGCGATGCTAGATTAACATAAGTGTAATTGTCCGACTATCTCACCTAATTTAATTGAAAGGTTAATCAAAAGATATGGTTGATGTCCCTCCTCTATACCCCGGAACAAAGTTCGAGCGGCGCCCGGATTGCGGCCAGCTTGACGGTAAATAGTTGGAGTCCCATTGTAGCCCCCCCCGGAGCTGTCACCACGTTAACCAAACCGATATTCCTGAACCATTGCCCACCATGCCCGGCTCTCTTTCGCTTTTCTCCGTCAATGCCGTCCTTCTCATGTCGGCCGACGATGGCTCTCGCATCTTCGCCAAGTACTACTCCCCTCCTCACCCCCCGGCCGGTGCTGCCCCCAACTCGACCGATTACCCCGGAGCGAACCCCTACCCTACCGTGAAAGAGCAGAAGGCATTCGAACAAGGCCTCCTCGAGAAGACCAACAAGCAGACCAGCGATGTGATTCTCTACGACAACCGGATAGTCGTCTTCAAGATGGAGAGCGATGTGATGCTCTATGTGGTGGGAAGTGCCGACGAGAACGAAGTGCTGTTGTACAACGTGGTTCTGTCGCTAAGAGATGCTCTGGGAATTCTGTTCAAGTATGCATGGCCTCTATTATTCAAGTGAGACAGGGATAGATCAATTGGGCTAACTTACTTCGTTCTTCAGGGGCGCAACCGACAAGCGCACAATCGTCGAGAACTACGACCTGGTCGCCCTGGCCATCGATGAGATTATCGACGATGGAATCATTCTGGAAACCGACCCTGTGCTGATCGCCTCCCGCGTCAGCCGCGCTCCTGCTCCGGATGCACCGAACTTGAAGAGCATCGACCTGTCCGAACAAGGTCTGATGAATGCCTGGGAGCTTGGAAAGCGGCGTCTGGCGGAGGGGTTGCGGCAGATGTAATTGACGTTGATGATTCTGCAATTCTCTATTTGATGCATCCTGATGTGCTTTCATCTTTATTCTCTTCATGTCATGTCTTTCTGTTATCTAATCTGGCTGGTCCTGGCGTGGTATTTGTGCGCATTGCTTGCTCATTGTGGAAATCATGTCCATTCTTAACATTCTTACTACTACTATTTGCCTCCGCATTTCTTTGTTGCAGAGGCTTGAGGTACCTATAGAGATACTCCTTGGTGTTTTGCTGCGAAACATTGTGCATCTTAGCTGGAATGGTGAGAGATCGTCTAGAGGCTCGTACTATATATATAACGGACGGGAGTCAACAATTTACAGCAATGAGTAATTGATAGTATAGAAAATATGCTTCACTTGCATGCAGACCCATACTGCAATACAACTTGCATTTCAAGTGGACATAATTGTAGTAGATAACTAGTAGCCGATAAGGTGAAAGCAATGGACAGTCATGGAAAGCAATGCCATCCATAGGCGAAAAAGCGCCCCGCATACGTCACGCCCGCAAGTTCGGAGTCACTCTGCAAAACTCTTGAACCACCGCATCAACCCAGCGCAACAGCCTCGCTCCTCGGGGAAACAGGAAAAAGGCCACCAGAAGATGAAGCAGAGATTCTCGTCCTTGGATGTCAAGGTGAGAACCCCGAGCAACACCCCACCACTCGCAACTGCCGCGCACGAAACTCACACAACAACTGCCAGGTCATCTCCCAGGAACTTGCATCGGAGATAGTCAATCTGCGAGTTTCGAACATCTACGATCTCTCCTCGGTATGTTCGCCCCTTCTGAATATGAGGGTTACCTCCAAGCAAGCTTATTTATAATCCATCCAGCGCATCTTCCTCTTCAAAGTCGCCAAACCCGACCACCGCAAACAACTCGTCGTCGACTCCGGTTTCCGCTGCCATGTCACCCAATACTCCCGAGCGACTGCTTCAGCGCCCACGCCCTTCGTGACGCGCATGCGCAAGTTCCTCAAATCTCGCCGGATCACCTCCATTGAACAGATCGGCACGGATCGAATCATCGACTTCTCCTTCAGCGATGGCATGTACCACATGTTCCTGGAGTTCTTTGCCGGCGGAAACATCATCATCACCGATCGCGAATACAATATCCTTGCGCTGTTCCGGCAGGTACCTGCTGGCGAGGGACAGGATGAGACTCGCGTCGGAGTCAAGTATACAGTGACCAATAAGCAGAACTATCACGGTATTCCGGACATTACAAGGGAGAGAGTCAAGGAGACGGTTGAGAAGGCCAAGGCCCTCTTTTCACAGGAGGGCAGTGCGCCGAAGAAGTCCAAGAAGAAGAATGCGGATGTGCTTCGCAAGGCTTTGTCGCAGGGTTTCCCGGAGTATCCGCCTCTGTTGTTGGATCATGCGTTTGCCGTGAAGGAGCTGGACCCCGCTACCCCGCTCGATGAGGTTCTGCAGGATGAGGCGCTTCTGACGAAGGTTGTGGATGTGTTGGAGGCGGCGAAGGTTGAGACGGATAAGCTGGCGAAGAGTCATCCGGGTTATATCGTTGCGAAGGAGGATACTCGTCCGTCCGCAGACTCGCCAGCTCAGGGTGAGGAGGACGCTGCGCGGAAACCGGGGTATCTGTATGAAGATTTCCACCCGTTCAAGCCTAAGCAGTTTGAGGGCAAGCCGGGTGTTACTATCCTGGAGTACCCGTCTTTCAATGCGACGGTTGACGAGTACTTCTCGTCGATTGAAACGCAAAAGTTGGAGTCGCGGCTTACGGAGCGGGAAGAGACTGCAAAGAGGAAGCTTGAGGCTGTCCGACAGGAACATGCTAAGCGCATTGGCGCTCTCAAGGAGGTTCAGGAACTGCATATTCGCAAGGCGGGAGCAATTGAAGATAATGTTTACCGGGTTCAAGAAGCGATGGACGCAGTCAATGGCCTGATTGCTCAAGGAATGGACTGGGTCGAAATTGCCCGTCTCATTGAGATGGAGCAAGGAAGAGGAAACCCAGTGGCCAATATCATCAAGCTGCCATTGAAGCTCTACGAGAACACGATTACCTTAATGCTTGGAGAGTCGGGCGAAGAGCAGGATGAAGGCGAGGACCTGTTCTCGGACGATGAGTCTGAGTCGGAGGATGAGCAGGAAGAGGCTGCCAAGGCCCAAAAACAGTCAAACAACATGCTGACAATTGACATTGATCTCGGCCTGTCTCCTTGGGCGAATGCAACGCAGTATTATGAACAGAAGAAGATGGCTGCTGTCAAGGAGCAGAAGACGACGCAGTCCTCGACCAAGGCGCTCAAAAGCCACGAGAAGAAGGTGACGCAGGACTTGAAGAAGGGTCTGAAGCAGGAGAAGCAGGTTCTTCGGCCTGCCAGAAAGCCTTTCTGGTTTGAGAAGTTCCTCTTCTTCATCTCGTCGGAAGGATACTTGGTCTTGGGGTATGTATTTTTGACCGTGTCTGCAGAGCTTGGTCTGATCTAACTTGAACAGTGGCCGCGATGCGATGCAAAGCGAGATTCTCTACCGCCGATACCTTAAGAAGGGCGATGTATTTGTGCACGCCGATCTACAAGGTGCCACGCCGATGATCGTCAAGAACCGATCCAATTCGCCCAACGCACCCATTCCCCCCAGCACCCTTTCGCAAGCCGGTAATCTTTGCGTGGCTACGTCCAGCGCCTGGGATTCCAAGGCAATCATGTCAGCATACTGGGTTACCGCGAGTCAAGTTAGCAAGACTGCTGACGCGGGAGGCCTCCTTCCCACCGGCGAGTTCCTCATCAAGGGCGAGAAGAACTTTTTGGCCCCCTCACAGCTCGTCCTAGGATTTGGAGTCATGTTTCAAGTGAGCAAGGAAAGTCTCCGGAACCATAAGCTGCACCGTTTCGACGAAGCCGTGGCTACGGAAACGCCTGTGGAAGCCCAGGAAGCTGACAAGGAAGCTAAGGGCAAGCCCGTCGAGCAAGAGGCGCAGGTTACTAAGCCTGATGAAGCTACTGAAGCGGAGAAGGAGCAGGAGCAGAGCAGCGAGTCCGAAGGGGAACAAGAGGACGATGCTGCGGTCCCAGCTAGAAACCCGTTGCAACGCGGGTCGTCAGAGCCTACCCAGACAGAATCAATTGCGGCGAACGAATCCCAGAACGCCCAGGCTGATGAGGCAGCTGACGAGGAAAACAAAGACGAAGCCGAAGAATCGAACGGCAACAATGAAGACAAGCAAAGCGCTCAAGAAGAGCCAGCTGAAGGTGAGGACGAGGACGAGAGTGCGACATCGCCACAGACTCAAGATGATAGACAGCTCTCAGCTAGAGAAAGACGAATGGCTAGAAAAGGAAGAGCGTCAGAACTGGATGGACCTGCAGCGGACGGGGCATCTGTCAAATCTGCTAACAGCAAGCAAGCTCCAACTCGGGGTAAGAGGGGCAAAGCAAAGAAGGCCGCAGCCAAGTACGCTGATCAGGACGAGGAGGATCGGGAACTGGCTCTACGCTTGCTAGGTGCCAAGAGTGCCAAAGCTGAAAAGGCAGCTGCAGAAGCCGAAGCAAAGGCTAAGCGTCAGAAAGAAGCAGAGGAAGCGAAGAAACGACGCAGAGCACAGCATGAACGCGCCGCGGAAGCGGAGCGGAAACGACAGGCTCTCTTTGAGGGTGGTGCCGATGACTACGACGAAGAAACTGCCGCAGCCGAAGCAGCAGACATGGAGTGGATTCCTGCATTGGTTGGAACTGCCCATCCAGAAGATGATATCCTGGCTGCTATTCCTGTCTGCGCTCCTTGGGCTGCCCTGGGTCGGTATAAGTATCGCATCAAGTTGCAGCCGGGTACCGTGAAGAAGGGCAAGGCTGTCAAGGAGATCATCGGACGCTGGGTTGCCGAAACTACAACAGGCAAGGTCAAGAAGGAACACGCTGAAGATGCTGGAATCGATCGTGCTACCGCTGAGAAACTCCGCGCGAAGGAAGGAGATCTGATCAAGATGTGGAAGGACACGGAGGTCATCAATAGTGTTCCAGTCGGCAAGGTGCGCATTATGGCTGGGCCAGCACCTAGCGGAGGTGACAAGGGCAAAGGCAAAGGTGGCGGGGGTGGAAACAAGGGAGGAAAGGGAGGGAAGAAGAAATAGAGGCTGGACATAAGGATTGGGTTTATGATCTACATGGTGGATGATCTACATAGTACTTAGGAGGAAAACACCAGAGTATGACTGTATTAGTTGGTTAGCTGTGACGCTATAGGCGATCACAGCATATGCATATAGTGGACACTCTACAAACGAGGCACCTTTAGACATACCGTCTATCTCTTCCAGTTCGTTCTCGACGTACAATTAAAGCATTGATGGAAAATAGAAATGGCCGAATCTGGACTGCACTGCTTAGTCACACCCACCGACGTCATCGCGAAGATTTTCCATTCGATCTGCACTTTTTTTCTCTGACATACAGAGGTCAGCAACCCAACATACATCCTAGTCGCCAATTGCTCATTCGTCTGGCAGCAATCGCTCGGGCCGTACACACCTGGTGGAGCAGCCTGACAGGAGGTCCCCGAATCAGGATTTGCCTATGACCGAATAGCCTCGAAACGCGCGATACCCGTTCTCCTCTTCCCCCCACTACCGAGAAATTTGTATCGCCTTAATCTACAAGCCGTGACTCACCCCACGATCGCTCGTTCCTCTGCTCTGTTCGGGGAACGAATATCACCTGCCAATCTGGTTCTATTTCTCTCTCGCCTTACTGCTCGCGGTCTCCCGCGCAGCTTCATTAGATTCGCTTCCACCGCCCCAGCAACAGCAACCATGTCGCCCAAAGCTTCCACCCGAATCGCATCGGTTCGCCGTCTCAACAACGAAGGCCCCGGAGACCGGTCTCTCGCAGAGTGGTGGGCCAACGAACGCGATAACCATACCCCGGAAGCGGCCGCCATCGAGAACGCCGCGCAACTTCTCCGAACCAGCGATATCCCCGTTGCTTTCCCCACAGAGACAGTGTACGGACTGGGTGCAGATGCGACGCGAAGCGATGCAGTACAAGGGATCTACAAGGCGAAGCAGAGGCCGTCAGATAACCCGCTGATTATACATGTTGATTCGCTGGGGATGTTGGAGCGGTTACTCAACCCCACACAGGAAAGTCCATCGCGCAGGACTACCACTGCGAAGAATGCTATCCCACCCATCTACGACTCGGTCATTTCCCGCTTCTGGCCCGGTCCTCTCACAATCCTCCTCCCTAACCCCTCCGGCTCCCCTCTTGCTCCCGAAGTCACCTCCAAGCTTACAACCTTTGGCGTGCGCATGCCCTCGTCCCCGCTCGCACGCTTGTTGATTCATGTAACGGACCGACCACTGGCGGCTCCCTCGGCCAACGCATCCACTAAGCCCTCCCCGACGGCGGCGGAACATGTATTCCATGACCTCGAAGGTCGCATCGAGCTGATCCTTGACGGTGGTCCCTGTGGCGTAGGCGTGGAGAGTACGGTTGTCGATGGACTGTCCGACCCGCCGGCTATCCTTCGACCGGGCGGGATTGGAATCGAGGAGCTGCGGACGTGCCCGGGGTGGGAGAATGTACAGATCGGATACCATGACGGCACACTAGATGCGAAGGAGGCCCCACGAGCACCGGGCATGAAGTACCGACACTACTCGCCCAAGGCGCGCGTGGTACTGTTCGAAGCCGGCTCCGACGAGGAAGCCGTCGCGAAACACATCCGCAAGGACCTGGAAGATTCAGCAGTCGGAGCACACATGATCGGAGTGGTCCGCACGCAACACTGGAAGCGGGGACTGGGGTTGCTGTCTGCCGACGAGATGCAAAAGAGCCTGAAGCGTATCCCCTCGCTCGTGGACGAGCTAGTAGGATTCTCCGTCCCGGTGAGCGATCAAGTCAACGGAAGCACTGCAACCAAGGAGACCTTCGACTGCCACCTCGGCACGGATGTCAAGTCGATCGCACAGGGCCTGTTCTCGGCACTACGGGCCATGGATGAAATGGAAGTGGACGTCATCTACGTCGAGGGTGTGCCCGATCATCAGGGTGATCTGGCAGCTGCTGTCATGAACCGGTTGCGTAAAGCTGCCGGAGCGGAACTCCGGGTATAATAACTTACAACTTCTTACCCTCGGAGGATTATCATAGATCGCATTATGGGCCACATACATACATAGTACTTGCTATATTGGAAGATTTGGCTGTGTCGGCTAGAAGCAGCTATAAAATCACGGGACTGTTTACGAATTTAGCATGGATATCGCAGTTAGAATATTACTAGCACAAGTTTTAATATCAGTTTGAGCGTTATGATGGATAATATGATGTGCATGCATGTCGATAATACCTACTAGTAGATATCAACTTAAAGTTTAGGGCTGAACAGCTGATCCGCAGGAAATCGATCTTCTAGAAGCTCTATCTATCATGTCTTTATCTTCTTTCCCATCTTATCAAATGGACTAGTATCATATGTGTGCACATCTCCGTTCTCCGGCTGCCTGCATCGGCCGTCTCCGACTCGGCGTGATTCCGGGTCTAAGTTGCGAATTAACAGTGCGCCGCGGCCTCCACAGGTCACCGGGTCTATGCTAATTTTCTCACTAGGCCTAGGCCCGGCTAGCTGCTTTGGGATTAGGTTTATTTGGTTAGATTTAGGCTTTTTTTTGGCGCATTGAATATAGAGTTGTATTATTATTATTATTTTTTCTTTTGATTCTATCTAGGAATGTTTGGATTTAGATGGTTGTATAACTCGATTTCTCCATTCTATCTATGATCTCCATTATGTTGATAAATAGATAAAGACAGCAAAACTCGGAAGTACTGAGCAGCTCACAGTCTATTGGAGATGATTATGTGAATATAAGTAGTTATATGAATACAGGATTTAGTCTACAACCTTCATTTCCCGCCAAGATACATCGTATTGTACAAGTTCTCAATCCATCCTTTCCTTCCTTCTATCACCTCCTGCGACAACTCCTAGTCATAGCTCCCCCCCAACGCATCTTACATTACATCCCAACCTCTAAAAGAAATCAAACATCTCAAACCCAGAAACACCCGTATCATAAGTAACACCATTAACCCAACCATTGACGGAACCAATCCAGCGACCATAGCCAGGCTTAGTCAAAGTAGCCAGGTTAGGGGTGAGCTGCGCCTCCAAAGGACCCAATCCAGGCACATCGACCGTGATCTTGAACCCGTCGGGGAGAAGCGACTCAGAAGTAGGGGGGAAAGTAGCATTCTCACCAATGGGGCGAACCTTCATGTTATCACACTCTGCAACCAGAATCTGGCCCTGATAGGCGACGTAGCCACTGGCATATTCATTATAAGCCGGGTCGAGCGCGTCAAGCCAGACGAGTGAGTAGGGGCCCATGCGCGCGTGGCCCCAGTACCAACTGCCGACGTTGTCCATGAAGCCGGTGACGCCCCAGTTCTGGAGTTGATTGTTAGGTATTTGTGTCGGTTGAAGGGGGGAGGGGGGAGGGGTTTGCGCACCTTGTCGTGGTAGCCCGTTCCCACGAAGCTCAATTCGGACCCGAAGATGGTCACATTAACGGTGGTTTCGGCATCAGGGACAGCATTGGCCCAGCCGACTCCGGGGAGTACCTCCAGGGAGACGTTGCCTCGTTTGGGGCTGCAAGGGTAGTGGGGCGGAGCGATCTGTGGGAGTCAATCCGTTAGCATTTCATTGAACTCATAGCAGATCATGTTTCATACTGACCGAGTGCATAGAGAAGGATCCCTTGTATCCCAAGTCCTCGGCATCAAGGGTCAGGACGTAGTCCTGAAGATCGGGGCTACCAGCCCATGAAATACCAGTGTTGTTCCACAGACCGCTGGAACCATCGCCGTTGGTGGACACAATCGCATTGTCGGCGAACAGGAAGTCACTGAAGACAGTACCGTTGGGGAAGGTGCCGGAGATTTGGATAAAGTCCATGTTGGTAAAGTTTTCGGTGACGGTGAAGCCAGACCGATTCGCCTCAACGAAGAAGACGACGGCAAGAGAAGACACACCGTCGGTGCCAATGGCGTCAAAGTACCACCAGTCGTAGGAGGAAGCATTGATGCCCTGGATCTTGGGACTGTCGAAGAAGTTGTCGCAAGAGGTGAATTGGCCGTCTGCTTGGCCATCTTGGGGTGTGGTTTGGTAGGTTTGGATGCCCTTGACTGGTGGGCATTTCTGGGTGCTCAGCGCTGCTGCGCTGAGACAGAAGGGAAGAGTAAGATAGGCTAGCTTAGACAACATTTTGTAGAGTTGCTATAGTGCTTGATGGTTTATGAGAATTGCAAGGGGGTTTGATGTGACTATTTATGCTATTAGATGTAGTATCAAGTTTGATTTATGGATCTTGATGACATAGTAGTATGATGATCGGCGAAGAGAGCACAAAATGCATAAGATATACCTATACATACTTTGAGATTCCCCATTTCGTTGCACTATTGTCTATTCATCATGCTATAGTTCACATACTACGTAGGTCCAGCTGAAGCATTAGGTATATGGCCGGAAGCTTCCGGAGTAGCCCTCAGTTCTTGGATCTGGGCCGGAACCGGCTAGTCTAACGCGACGTCGAAACTTCTGACTCGATAGTGGGTCACCCCAAAGTCTGTACTGTTATATAGTTACTAGTTAGTGGGTCGTTGCCATGTCGAGAGTCTTGACTCGCCAGTCCTCATGGCGGAAGTTCGCTCTCTTGACTTGCCACTTCCACAAGGGGTCATGCCTTGCTGTCTAGGTAGCAAACGGAATCGGATTCTGAACCTCCGTACTCCCGAACATTGATGACTTCAGGGTGGAAGTTGTTCATCCGTATCCGAGAGAATTGTATGGATCCTACTATGTTCGGATGTAGCAAGCAACATAGGGAACAAGAGCCATGATGTTACTGAACTCGAATAAATGTCATTGATTATGAATTATTAGAAATACTACTTGATGACTTTGGGACTTAGATGCCATAATGTGAATATTTGTCTATATAAGAACACTGAGATTTAGGTCCTCATTCTTCTTCCCAGAATAATTCCATAACTAACTCATCTTACTGAAATCCTCTGCTTCCGATACCTCCCTAAATCATTTCCAAACTATGGAATCGCGGACTCTTCTCATAACCGGGGTTTCCGGCTATATGTAAGACCCTCAAATCTTGAAAATCACCGGACGAAAAACGAAGACTGCTAACTGAAACCCTTTGCAGTGGAGGCTCAGTTTTGTCTGCCATCCTCAGGACCAAAGATACGTGGGCTGCTAATCTGAAAGTATCGGCGCTGGTTCGATCTGAATCACAGGCTACAAAAGTCAGGGAGTTGGGTGTATCTCCAGAACTATTCTCAAGCTTCGACGAGCTGGACAGACTGGAAGAGGTTGGTAAAGGCTTCGACAGTATGTGAATGAGAATCCTCCTTTCCACATGTAAAAGCTCTGCTGACATAATTCCAGTTATTATTCAAGCTGGTGCTGGCTGGCACACTCCGTCTGCGAAAGCCCTAATTAGGGGATAAGGTGTGCGGCGCCAAACTACGAACGCCGATGTCCACTATATCCAGATCTCCGGAACCTCAAACTTGAGCGATCGCCCGTATACAGAGGGGTATATTGATACTCATGTCTTCTCTGATGAAGAGGATATTTACTCATTTGAGAAATATCGCGAATCCCGTGAAACATACTTCCAGCGGATTACCGACATTGCCGTGATTGAGGAGGGCGAGGCCGCTGGTGTGACTACTTACATTGTAATGGCACCTACAATCTTTGGTCTTGGAAGTGGACCATTCAATCGCTTTTCCATGCAGCTTCCTACCATGATCGCGGATGCACTGCGTACAGGCAGCTGCAGTGTTGTTTCTGAGGGAGATACTGTTTGGAACCACGTGCATATCGAGGATTTGGCAGCCCTCCACCTGGTCTTGCTTCAGCACATTTTCCGAGGCATCAAGATCCCCTCTGGTCGAAAGGGGATCTATTTCTGTGAAACAGGAGAGCACTCACACCTGGAGTTCTCGGAATACCTGGCTAAGGCTGGCCATAAGTTGGGCGTTTTCCCCTCTAGTAAGGTGGCGAAGATTACTATCCAGGAAGCAGGCGAGAAATGGGTCTTTGGCAACACATCTAGTGCTGAACTTGGCTTTGCGTCAAAGTATGTCTTTCATCTTCTTCTTACGTACTCACCGTGATTGCTGACACTTTATTCTCTCAAACAGCTCTCGTACAAAGGCTGTCCTCGCTCGCAACTTGGGATGGGCGCCGTCCCATGCCGATGAGTGGGATAGCACGTTCAGTACTGAGCTGAATGAATTTATCAAGAATCCTCCCAGTGGACGAGAGATCCCTAAGTATCTGAAGAAATAAATCTGTGAAGAGGAGTCATATACGGCAGTCGAAGAGTACTATCTTGCAAAACCCATGTCTAGATATTGAATAATATAATTCATCTCTTTTATTATTTCCGAAAATTCTTAGCATACAAACAGCTAATCAACTCATCTGTGTCCCAAACTTTAACTGAAACTATACCTAATCCGCATCAGGCCTTATCTGTGCCTGCTGTGCTGATTCAGCGTGGCGGGAAAGTCGCGGCGCAGAGAAGAAGAGAAGAAAAACGTAAGGCAAGAAAAAAAGAAGCTTATCGTTGTCTCGTGGCCTGACGAATCCACCCACCGGGCACGGAGTGGGGCCTCAGGAACAATCGCTGTTTGGCTGCGGGATTTTATCATTTGACTCAATCTGCGCTCCACACTTTTAGCTTGCCTCGGACGGAGTACCGCTTTGGGATAGATACTCAAGTCATTTCTTGGATGGTTGTGAGGATTATTTTATAAGGTCGTGGTGTCCCTCGGTTTTTTTTGTGGTTTTGTGGTTGTTCTTCTATATACGAATACTATCTTCTACTATACTTGTTACACGCTACCATCAAGAGACATCTACAACATGTGCCAATTCAACACCCCCCAAGAATCCCACTGGCACGCCTTCCTCCAAGGCCTGCCCAAATGTGAACACCACGTCCATCTCGAGGGCTGCCTCACCCCCGACCTGATCTTCGAGCTCGCCTCTAGGAACAACGTCCAACTGCCCCAAACCCCCGAATACACTTCCATCGACACCCTTACCGCCCGGTACGGCAACTTCTCCTCGCTCGACGACTTCCTCCACTTCTACTTCATCGGCATGTCCGTGCTGCACCACGAGTCCGACTTCTCCGATCTCGCCTGGGCCTATTTCCAAAAAGCGCACGCCGACGGCGTCCATCACGCTGAAGTCTTCTTCGATCCCCAGGTCCACCAGGACCGCGGCATTCCGTACGAGACCATCGTGCGGGGGTTCGTGGCGGGGTGTGAGCGCGCCGAGAAAGAGCTGGGTCTCTCGACGAAGTTGATTCTCTGCTTTGTGAGGCATCTGCCGGTTGACTCGGCGGAGAAGACCTACCAGAAGATTCTGGAGAATGGGCACTTTGAAAGTGAGGCTGTGCATGGGCTGGGGTACTCGTCATCTGAGGTTGGCCCGCCCAAGGATATGTTTAGGGAGATTTATGCCTCGGCTAGGGAGAGGGGCGTCAGGTTGACGGCTCATGCGGGCGAGGAGGGCGATCCGACGTATATTAGTACGGCGTTGGAGATGGGCGCCAGTCGTATTGATCATGGGATTCGGTTGGTGGAGGATGAGGTGCTTATGGAGAGAGTGGCGAGGGAGGGCATTCTCTTGACGGTTTGTCCGTTGTCGAATGTGCAGTTGAAGTGTGTGAAGGAAGTTGGGGAGGTGCCCATTCGCAAGTTCTTGGACAATGGGGTCAAGTTCTCGATTAACAGTGATGATCCGGCGTACTTTGGAGGTTATATTTTGGATAATTATTGTGCGGTGCAGGAGGCGTTTGGGTTGAGTGTTTCCGAGTGGAAGACTATTGCGGTGAATAGTGTGAGTGAGAGTTGGATTGAGGAGGAGAGGAAGTTGGAGTTGGTTAGGAGGATTGAGGACCATGTTGGAAAGTTTGCGCATTTGGGTTAGGTTGGTTACTTGATGGTATAGATGGGGGTTATGGAGTTGGTGTAATGAGTAGATGATAGATGCATATTTTAATAAAGCGTGATCTCAACTATTAATTAAACATTGTAGTGTGGATTGTAGCTCATTTCGTGGAATCTGGGCTATAGTTATCTGATCGCATGCCAATGACTAAGATGAAGTGTGGCCCGCGGCGCATCAAACACCAGACATTATTGAATCCAGTAGCAATAGACACGAAGAGTATACTACTCCTTACTATTACCCTGCAAGATGCCGCCAACCATTTCCCCGCTGGCCTGTTGCATTCCCCGCACGCCCATCCTATGGTTTTCCGGCAACTTCCATTCGTACAGATTGTCCCGGACCTTCTCATCATCGTCATCATCATCACTATCCAGATCTCCACTCTCCGTGTCTCTACACGCACCCTCTGCGCGACCTACGTCTACGAGCATCAACAACACACACCTTCCCACAATCGAGAAGATCTCCTATCTTCGAACCTACCAGAAACGAACCATGTCTTCTGCTCCCATTCCCGACCGGTACAAACTCGTCTTCTTCGTCCCGCATTCCGACCTCGAAGCCTGTAAAGAAGCCGTCTTCGCGACCGGAGCGGGAACTTTTCCCGGGGGCAAGTACAGAAAATGCTGTTTTCAGATGCCCGGTCAAGGCCAATTTCTGCCGTCCGAGGGTGCGAATCCTGCCATTGGCGAAGTTGGGACGGTCGAGATGGTCGAGGAGATGAAGGTGGAGGTGATGTGTCTAGGACGGTCGGTTATGCTGCAGGCAGTCGAGGCATTGATTAAGGCTCATCCGTATGAGGAGGTCGCGTATGAAGTGTATAAGATGGAAAATGTGTAATGGGCTGTTGGGGATGTCGGATGCGTTGCTGGGTTATAGGCCCGGTCGGTTTATGTGTCACGATGCCGTTGTAGAGAGATTGAGTTGTGGAGGTTCCTGTCGTTAGTCCCAATAAATCTGCAAGCCAATTTAAAGCCGAATAAATCATATCATGATTTTTTGGATAGTGTTGAAGAAGCAGTGATGTTGCAAAAAGGCCGTCGAGAGGGTCGTTCATTGGCACAAGGCGGGAGTAATCTGTCGGCGCTGATTGGTCAGCCGCAGCTCCCGCAAAACGCCTCTTCGACTCCAAGTCGGTCGTTCACCTTCAATCCATCAGATCAAGTCCTCCAATTCCCTCCCCATACCCTCAGTCCCTCTCCTCTGCCAGCAATGGCTTCCAAATTCTTCCCCGCTGTCCCGCGGACTGGCCGCCAGCTCTTCCAGCAGATCCCCAAGACCCAATTCAGACCCTTCTCGGCTGGTCCGCAACGCTTCAGCGACTCCCTTGCCGTGGTACGTCCCAAGCACTCTTATGGCTGACTCGGATTTGGCGGCATGTCGGATATTATCTCGCTTGCCAATTGCGCGTCAAAAAGCCATATCGTTTGCGAGGGCGTCATTGCTAACCAGTTGACTTTGTCCAGCACCGCAACAAAGGCGATAACAACCCGAATGTTCCGTTCAAGTTCACCGAGCAAAACCTCAAGCTCATCGATGAAATCCTCAAGCGCTATCCCCCCCAGTACAAGAAGGCCGCTGTCATGCCGGTCCTGGACGTTGGTCAGCGCCAGCACGGCTACACCAGCATCAGCGTCATGAACGAGGTCGCCCGTCTCCTGGAGATGCCCCCCATGCGTGTCTACGAAGTCGCAACCTTCTACACCATGTACAACCGTGAGCCGGTTGGCAAGTACTTTGTTCAGCTTTGCACAACGGTATGAAATTGGAGACCCCCTACCTCGCGTGCCATACCTTTCCTCGTCTTTGTCATCGCTGACAAGCAATTTCAGACACCCTGCCAGCTCGGTGGTTGCGGTAGCGATAAGATCGTCCAGGCGATCACGGAACACCTGGGTATCACCCCCGGACACACTACCGAAGACGGCCTCTTCACCTTCGTCGAGGTCGAATGCCTGGGTGCCTGCGTCAACGCTCCCATGGTCCAGATCAACGACGACTACTACGAGGACCTTACCCCCGAATCGATGAAGTCGCTGCTCACCGCTCTCAAGGAGTCCGCCACGGCCACCGAGGCTGGTCAGACGGTCAAGGTGCCCGCTCCGGGTCCTCTGAGCGGCAGAGACACATGCGAGAACAGCGCGGGATTGACCAACCTGATCGAGCCCGTGTGGGACCCGGCTACGATGATGAGAAAGGACGGGGCTTTGGACGAGCAAACACAATAAATGAAGATAAACCTATAATTCGAGCCAGACAATATAGTTTCGATACCGTGTGCTGGATGGTTCCAATTCCTGTCATGTTTCCCCTTTCCTTTTTCCTTTTCTGCCCTGGTTGGTGAAACTGGACGGGCCACCAGGTAACGCTTATGTACAGTACGTTGTTTCTGATTTCTCTCTTTTGCGTAGGGGGAAAGTCGGATATGGTGGGATTGATGTCAACTACCATAGAGGATCTCGTTAGCAGTAACCAATGCAGTTCTTTTCATTGTTAATTGGGACTTCAGTATCCATACCCTTGATTCCGTTTCTGGGCTGCAGTGCTAAGGTATGAGGTAGTTACTGCAGCCCTTGGACTCTACTAATTTAAATAAGAGAAGAACATCTGACTGATTGGCTGGTGGTGTTTCTGCCCGATTTGGTCATGAACATCTTGGACATGCACTTTCCTATCGGGAGCTACTTCACGTGGACTGTGAACTACGAGTTCGTCTTGCTATATGGGAAGCACAAATTCAATCTTCCTAATCACAGTGACTCGATGAAGTTAACTTTGACATATACGCACACACCAAATCTGAACACCGCCCTTCGCTAATCCAAATTGCAAGGCGGAAAGCCAGAAAATTCGCGCACTACCATTCACTGAACTCACTGCACGAGATTTTCCAAACACTCAAACGCGTCGTTAAAAACCAAGGGCGGCCCCTCACACTTGATCACCTTGCCATCCAAGGCTTCTCCGTGAGCCATGAGCTCGGCCTTGCCGTCCCTTTCTATCAATATCTTGTCTCGGCGTTCTTGAAAGATGTTCACGTCTATCGTGTGCTTGGCCAGTAGGTGATAGACGTGAACGTGACGCCTTTGCCCATAACGCCGGGACCGTCCGATGGCTTGGGTCATTGCGGACTCATAATCATACTGTGTCTCGGCGTTCATAGGAGATAGAAAAATAACGTGATTTGCCGATTGAAAATTCCTGCGGAATTACATTAGGCACAAGCTACAACAACCCTAGGAGAGGGGGGGTGGCAGGGAGGGAGGGAGGGAGGGAGGGTAACTTACAATCCGGCCGCCATCTCCCCTCCAAGATTCAGGATCAACACTTTGTCTTCCTGCAAGCTTGCCTCTTGGAATACCGCGATCTTTTGCATTGACTTGCGGTCTGTCGTTAAGATCGCTGTGTGCTTTATCTGGGCGAGATCCAGTGCCTTGGACGCGACTTCGATGAGCTCGGGATATTGTATGAAGACGAGGGCCCGCTCGTCGTTGGGGATCTCGTTGAGGATCTCAATCAGTTTGTCCAACTTGCTGCCGCCGTATGCTGCACTCTCATCGACGCTATTCTCTCCGAGCATGGATCCTGCGATGATATTGAACTTCTTTATTGGGCTGTGGCATCCATACACAATACACTCCTCTTTTTCCAACGTTTTTGAAGCGCAATCCTTGCACAGAGTATGGCCGCACGATCCTGAGACATTTGTGTCCTCGATACCTTGCAACCCGCAGTAACAACCATTGCATTGCGGAAGTCCGGCACCTGTTAGCAGAAGCTGCACAGCTGAGAGAAACCTAATGCCACTTTTGCGCAGTGCCCATTCCCCGATGAGCCTTTGGATGGCTGTTATGGCTTCTCTCAGAATTGGTTCGGCTTCGCAAGCTCGCTCGGGCTTCTTGGGAAGCGAAACGTCTGTGTCATCGTCGTCGTTTCCAGAATGCTCACTGCCGCTGGTTTTCTTGGCCTGGGTTCGCTGGTTGCTCTGCTTGGCGACCTTGGGCTTGGAAGAATTATCGAGATCATCGTTGGCCACCGATTCACTGCTCTCACTATCGTTTTCTGCATCAGACGAGCTGCTTTTATCGCCTGGCACTTGCTCTTCAGGAATCTCAAAGAAGTACACCCAGTCATCAACGTCCGATGCATCGAATGCTTTTCTCAAGAAAGAATAAACTTCTCGGGTGATGGCCATATCACCAAAATCGTCTTCGAAGAACTTTTCGATGAACTTGTAAAGGTGCTCACAATCAAATTCAAAACGGCAGTAAAGCCACGCTGCCAACTTCAATTCCATATTCATTTCGTCTTTGAGATCATTGAGCTGTTCCTCCCTGGTGGCGATCAGGGATGCGCATGTTGTTAGCTCCGGCTCGCCGTCTTCGTTCCATCGATCATGAAGCGCTAGGGATGAACAACGTTTGAGCAACGCCTCTTCGGCCGTTGAACTTGTTCCAATAATCTCGTCCAACCGGTTGGCTTGGTCACTGCTGAATCTTCCTCGGCCACTTCGACGGAGCTGGCGGTTGTATGTCATAATCTGCCTCCAGAGTTCCAGATAGATTACTCGTTCTGCCGGTGATTGCTGGACCACAATTATGTGCTCTGACGATGGGATCTCGTCAATATCAGCAACGTTTCTCCGTGCAAACCGGTCCAAGAATCCCTGGGCTAACTTGTGTCGACGTTCGTGCCAGATTTGGCTATAGGGTGCCCGTAACGATTGGAACGCTTCCGCAGCAGAGCGCTGCTTGAGTCGCAGTTTGACATATTTGTTTTGTAATCGACGGTCATCCTCGTCTACTCCGAGATGCACATTGAGGAAAGGTGCAATGCCATTGACATCGGCAAAATCATTGAGAGGCGGTGTCCCCGACAGTACCCATTTCGATCGAGCTTTGAGTGAGAGGAGCGGGCTGAGCCTTTCCGGGTCTGCATATGTGAACTCATCGATGACAAGACGATCAAAAGAGAACATATGAAGAAACGGGGTTCTGACGGCCCCCCAATCCTGAGTTCTGCTTTTGCTTATGTTGAACACCTTTCGATCGTCCCACTTTTTCGCCTTTCGGCCAGCTGTTTTGGGAAGACCTGGTCGGACTTGCTTGTCCTCCGTCGCAGAATCTTCATATTGAGTGTCATCGTCTGATTCTAATGCAGGTTCCTCAACCGACTCATCTTTTTCAAGACTCTGGATTTTGAGGTACTGGTCCGTTTTCGATCTCAGCATCTGGGTGTCGGTTTCGCTTTCTGTCTCGGTATCCTCACCACTCGATATCTCCGCCAATACCTCATGGCCCTCTTGTTCTGACGCGTGGTTGCCTTTGACGTACTGACTACCACGGAGGCGCCGGGACGGGCAATATGTGAGATGTGTTTGAGAACCCTTGATAGTTTGTCGCTTAAGACGAATCGACGCGAGAAGCGCGCTTGGACCCTGGCTGGTCAAAATTCGGACTTGCTCTTTCAGTGCGACTTGAGCGTCTTTAAACCATGCGTCAAAATTTCGCCCTGCCTTTTTGGGAGCCTGAGGAGTGCCTGTGAATTTCTGGAGCTTTTCATAGTATGCTGGGTTGTTGAAGATTGACCAGGATACTAGAATGATGTCACTCCGCCGAACGTCACTTATGGACACTTTTGCGAATGAACTCGCCTGTGCGAATACCAAGACCTTCAATCTAGAACCCAGAAACTTGGAGATTTCAGATTGCCATTGCTGAATCATGATTTGCGGCACAACGATAAGAGTTGCCTTGCACGGAATAAACCCGTCAATTTCCGCAGGGGTTGGCAGGCGCTCCCTTCCATGCTGCGTATCGATTAAGCCTAAGGTGATGGCTGTTTTTCCGTAACCAACATCATCAGCTATGACACCACCTCGAATAGCCTTCTGACTGGTGACTCGCCCCTCTGCGCGCCACATCAACGATGGAAGCAGCGCCTCCTCCGTCTCTTCTTCCGTGAACGGTGGGACATCATCATCTTCTTGCCGGACCATCCACGATAGTGATCTCAGTTGCTCCGGCCGCAGAGCCAGACGGAAGTTAGGCGGCTGTGGAGCTGCGACGTCAGACTTGTTGTCTGTAAGCTTGAACTTGGGAAACATGGCGTTTCTACTATCGAACGAATTCGGGACCAGGCGCCAGTGAAACGACACGTCTTTGACAATACTATTTTGCACCAACTTATCATACGCCTGATGCAATAGGTACTGGACGTTGAGAGTAACGCGCAAATCAGCTAGGCCCTGCTCATCGATCTTTCGGAAGATCAGGAACGGCGGGGGTCTTGCTTTCGCCTGGCGCTCATAGAGAGCTGCATCGTATGGATCTTCATAGGCCATGATCCGTCCTCTATTGTCACGGCCCCATATGATGCGCGGTTTCAGCGGCACACATGTGCATGTCGAGCTACCGTCCTCACCAGGGGTGTCAGTGTCAGAGACTGCGTTCCAGTCCTCAAAGCCTGAGATGACTGCCGCTTTCTGTAGGAGCCAAGAGAGGTCCTGAAGCAAGGATGGTGAGTCTATTGGGTTTATGATCTCCCACGATTCTTTCTTCCAAAGCACCTCCATGGCTGCTGGTTCTGCTTTAAATGAGAGCAAAGGAATATTAGCCTCATGACACCTTGATCGGGAAATCGTGATGTTGGTCGCCTCATTCAACCTTTGGCATGAGATAGGTGCGCCAGGGAGGTACAGGTTCAGGGCCACCTTGGGAGCTCTAATCCATTGACGGAAGTAGATGTGAACGGGCTGTGGAACCTCGCTTGCTTTGGGTGAACGCCATGAGTGGGACACCTCTGCGATGGTCTTTCTCTGTTCGTAACCGCGAACACGTTCATGGTCCCAGGCAAATACGAAGAAATCTTTGTTTGCATCCCCGAGCTTCGTCGGGTCCAGGAAGAGGAATACCGGGCGATCGTACTCACCAGCTGATCTTTTGTGCAGTGAAGCGTGTGCCGTACCGCAGTCTGGCAGAAGATCATACGTCCCCCGGATGTCTGCGTCTAGGCCCGCCACCGCTGAATCGGGACCTTCAACTTGAATTTTCGTCCAACGATCTGTTCCATCAACCTCTGCAGTATTGAGGCCGCATTCAACTTCATAAGACTCGACTTTCTCGCCAGATCCGGAGAAATACAGCGTCCGTCTGGAGCTCAGAGGCCCACAGACTTCCCAATCTCCCTCCATAAGTGACGCAGACACAGGTGTCATGCGAGCAATGGG